GCAGGATACAAGGGTAGCAGTAAATGTGTCCACATCGTGTCACCTGAAATAGACATGGCATCTTAATAACCAAAGTACATATTCCACAATGGTGGAATATTTAGTTCTAGACAACTACTAATTGATCAGAGATTGCAGTCATCAGGCAAAGCAATTGTATAAATATCACTATCTATTCATAACTTCTATCAGGGATAGGAAAATATTCAAACAAATCAGGTATCCAAATGTATGATTTGGTACAAAATCGTATCCGATTTCCGCACAAAGTACACATCTTATTAATACTACAAACTAGAGCTGACAAACCTCATTCTATCAAGAAACAAAAACAAGATATTAACTATTCAATAATACAGCACTAAACAATATCAACATTATGATTTCAACAAATCTTAAACTCTTCAGCAACATATTGGCACAAAATCATGGTTCTGATGGATTGAGTTGTGGATGGCACTGCAGCTTGACATATCCCACTCCATCCCATTGGATACAGCTAGTTTTCACTTTTCTTTTAGTTACTCCTTTTATAAAGAAAATTCAAGTACAAGCTAACAGGTGCCTGATGTTGTGTATGATGTACCAAACGAGCCAGGTGAAAAAGGGGGAAACTGCAGATGTGCCAACCCCTCCACATTACCAACCCCTAGCCAATTGTTTTGCTCAATGGGTTAATTCTTATATAAGTGTTTTCTCTCATGCTCCAACCACAAATGATATTCAACAATGTGCACCAACAAAACTGGACCAAGGAAAATTCCTCTGTACTGCCATTTCATCAATGGGGATATTACTGCACTTTAGTATACTAAAACTGCCAACCTTTTATATCTTTTTGTGTAAAAAAAAATTAGTGGGCTGAGACTGGCAAGAGTTATAAACTATTCATTACAAATTATCAAATATGAATTTTACAGCTGAGAAATGGTTACAATTTTTTTTTTTTTTTTTTTTTTTTTTTTACAATACAAGACATATCTTTTTGTCTGTCAACTGACTAATATCAAATGGTATTGCAGACTGTCACTTTGAACACTTATCCAAGTGAATGAGAAAGGACACAATTTTCAAAAGAAGAAGAAAAAAAGGAAAGTGGAGTCAATTCTTTATAGGAATGCAGCACATACTTGGAAGAAAATAAAAGCTGAACCGACCTTTGCTGCTGTTGGAGGATGAAGGCAGATGGGGCAGGCAGGAGCCTCAGAGACATGAAGCCTCACTTCCTCCACCAACTTCCACTCAACCAGCAGGTCTGGGTCGGCACTGTATACCGAGTAGTCCTCTCCTTCCTTCACAACAAACTGGCAGCTGCAGGTGAGCAAGTTTTGTTATGTAATACCTTTGTGAAATTAAGGGGGCTGTCGCACTCGAGAACGAAGTTTGTCAATTATGATTGGATATTCATGAATTTTTAATGTTATCTATACGTATACTACAATCTACATCACCATGAAAAATAAAAAATTATGTAACTCACTTATCCATTGACTGAACTTCTTAAGAAGAAAAAAACTAAATCTTGTGTGATTTGGATTTTGGAATTTCCATATATATGGACTTTTATCATTTAAAATGAAAATCGTATTGCATAAAAACAATCGCAAATTTATTCAGCTTTCAAATTATCCAAACCCCATTAGAATTGTCCAAGTAATTATGGAGATACATAAAAATGTTGACAAGGTGTAGATATGAGATATTAGGCTTTGAAATTGAGCATACTTTCTCCTTCAATTTCTTTTTTATTTATAATTCTGATCTCTGCATCAATCTTGATGCATTCTATAGCATTCACATGGTATTCTGAAGCGTAGCTGGTACCCTTTTGCAAGGTACTAATAGCAATACCTGCACAAGATTGTAGAAGTACCACATGTCATCACAGGCTTTGCAGTGCCTTTATAGTACCTTGTGAGGCATTTCATACGAATAAACAACTGCCGCAGCTGTGATTGAGATGTATTTCCCATCATAAGTTTATTAGTTACAGGAATAAAATCTATCATTAGTAGTGTCCACTGCCCGCCTTGTCTCTTTGTCATGGCTATCAGCTGATGCAGCTGCAGAATTGCCAGCTAGCTACCCGAGAATACCAAAATAAATTGAAAAAAATCCATTAAAAAAATAAAATAAATAAATAAATAAATAAAAATCAAGTATTTTTGCACGGACATGACAAAGTAAACATTGGAGCTGGAGGGGGGGGGGGGGGTCAAAGATTTAGTGATCACTCTTTTTATGTATATAGCAGAAATATCATGTCACAGGATTGCCAAAGCCTACTAGATTACAGAAGATTTTTTTCAAATTGTCAAGTATTTTCTTTCAATATTCAAAATTCAGCACGATGGCCCCCTTAAAGTAATCTATCAAAGACGACATAAACATTCAAGCTAATTTTTAAAATCAATTTCTTAATATCTTTTACAAAAAATAAAATCAAAATGATTTATCCAATTACTTGTATATCAAAAGGTTTATAACATACCATTATGTGTATCTATAAAATATAGTGAATAAATAGTAATATGAACCGGAACTACTTCAAAATGGTTTGTATAAAAAGAGTGAAAGAGTATTATTTTCTAACAATGTTTTGGCTTTCAAAAACCCAAGAAATTCCTACATACTTGGCTTGTAGGTAATGTTCCTTGCTGTATTTTGGAGTGTGAGAGGAGTACCTCCGGACCCTGGTCCCACCTCTTTGGTGATGGCCATGACCTGTCTGAGATCTGTGGCTTGGCCCCCACCAGTTCATCAGGTGTGTGATGTTCTGTTTCTTGCCTCCCATACGGTATAGCGACCCAGATTCCACATTGGAATTACTTGATTCTACCTGAAAGTGAATTTTAAAAATGCTTTTATTATTGAAAATTTGAGGATTCAGAGAGGATCTTATATTTCTCAGAGTGAGGCTTGTTAAAAGATCTTTTTACATGTATTACCAAAAATATTACTTTTAAAACTAAAAATAAACATTTAATAAAACTTTATAATAGAAGAAAAAACATACCTGGCCACCCGTCTTCTCCCTGGGACGGACATACCGTTGGCCCGCCCTCCCGCCGCGCCCGGCCACCGGTTTCTTCCCTGGGTCGGGACGGTCAAAATCCCTTTTCCGAGCATACTGAGATGCACACTTTTTCCCTCCATAATCTGAAATAATTAAAACAGTAAATTTGTGGCTTCATGAATAATTAATAATATGAAAATCATGCACATATATATTCTACATATACTAATACGAAGACAGCATAATCCTTACAAATTATATATTTCCAAATTATGTATTGAAAATCATAATATGACTCTTTAATAGGCCAGAATACCTTGAATAGTATATAAACATTTTCACCTACAAAGACAAACATACATTATCCATCATCACTCATATCAATTTATATACTATCACTACATACCAATGCTAACGATGCTTTCTACAGGCCAATCATCCCAGTCTTCCCAAGGTTCCCAAGGCTCCCAGTCCTCCCAGAGCTCCATTAGTCTTAAAAAATCAGCCATCCAACTCACTTTTCAAACTATGCTCTCTATACAATAAACTGCATAGTACAAGGGCACCAATTACTGGCATCTTTCTGACGGAAAGATCAACCAAATCTGGTCTGCTAATACAGCACACAATACAAAATCAAGAAAGAAAAAAAAAAAAAAAAGAAAAAAAAAAAAAAAAAAAAATTGACAAGTAATAAAATATAGCAAGCAATTGGGGGTGAATCATTGGAATATCATTAAAAGAAAAAGAATTAATTGAAAAAATAATACTAATAATAAAGCACCGTATATGACTAATAGTTTGAGACACTTTCCTTTTCATCAAGTTTCTTGTATCAAAAATATATTCATCATCAACTCACCGCATTTACTGTTATAGAATGAATACTCAAAAGCATTATACATTACTTTAAGGGTCCAAAATGTATCTAAACTATGAAAACAAAAAGAATGAAAAAATAGCAACACTAGATAGGATTTTCCACTTCAGTTCTACAATCCAGAAGGAACACTGGTGGTCTATATAGCATTTCAATTTAAAAATCGTTACACTAGGCTATTTTACATTTCCTGTTATACCTTAGCAATACGTGTACCTATTCATTTTATAAATGGCATTCCAAAATCTTTCTACTGATAATATTGCAATTGTGTAATGTAAATTGCAATATCTTGTTATATTACACGGTATCCAAAGTATTAACCTCTCGATATCTATTTTCCAGTATATAAAAAAAAAATTAATTATATGCATTTCCACAGACATTACAAATATCTGGTGCATGTTCCCAAACATTTTTTTTACAAATTAGCATTTCAGGCTGTAGACTGACAGTTGGCTAATGTGTTAGAATTTTTTTTCAATAGATTTTGATACTACATTTGAGGTTTCTGGTAAAGCTTTAATTTTACACAGGCAACCAGTACAAAATTCTTTGGCATTTCCCTAACAAATTTAAACTATCTTCACCTCAGTAAGCATGTAAAGACAAAGCTGAAACTAGGTAGCCTGAACTTGACTCAGGCTGAAAGAATGCTTTGCGCGATCTTTCACCTTTATTTGTAGTGTTACTGTTGATGTCGGCAGATTATCTTCATAAGGATGAATACAACTTTTTTTCTTTGCAAGAATACCACATTCAATTTGCCTCAACTTAGTGCGTCCATATCATACAGATTAACCTGACAATGTATGATGGGGTGGGGGGGGGGTGGGGGGGGGGCTGGGTGAAAAAACAATTGCCTTTTTATAAATATCCTTAATTTGTATCTAATACACTTCTGTATATATCTGTAGTATACCCACAAAATTATTTCACCCAAAAAATAAAACAAAACATCTAGTATTAGTAAGAAATGATAATTTCCTTTGGAATACAATATGGTAATTTGCTCTAATAGTACCACAAAATGGGCCATGATTTTGGCATCGCTGGATTCCTCTCACTCTTTCATTTCCAATTATATAGAAAGAATTGCTCAAACCCCCCAAACCCACATACAAGGGGGCTTCAAAAAGTTTGTGGAAAGAGTCCCAGTGTTCGGCAGAAACGTGCTGTACTCCATGAATTTCAATGGGAAATCATCCGACATCCCCCTTACTGCCCTGATTTAGCCCCATCCAACTTTTTTGTTTCCAAAGTTGAAAAAATCATTGAAAGGTACCAATTTTCTATCAGTTGAAGGTGTAATCTGTTTAAAGTGTAAAGCTAGATCACAAGACCCTCAATTCTACTCAGACGGCTTTTAATCCACTTGCGTCAAGTGTCATATTGTGATGTCCGGAATACGGAACATGGCCCACTGTCCCACCAGCGCGATGCTAGATCCAAACTTGCGCTCTAATATTGTCGCCTGAGGCGGGCAGCAAATGGGCAGGTCCCTGGACTGACCAATGCACCGATTTTTATACTGCTTGGAAATGGGGATTATTGCCCTCCAAATGGTCCATTACAAGTGGGTTAAAGGTTCTTGTTTTAACATATTGTAACATGTTGGTACAAGAATGTTTTTTTTTTAATTATTTTTTATGACAAACGCGACTTCCCAGACAATATTCATACCATTAGATTTATTCTCATTTGACAAAAACAAATCTGATGATCATTTCCATATCAATCACAGCCGACAATTTTGATGCAATAAGTCCCGATAGCTGGGGAGAGCATGAAGTATATCGGGGAAATTATGTGGTAAAACAGGCTTAAATGAGAAATATACGGAACGGAAATGCAAAAAATCAGCCAATGAAACTCTACAGACATACCCTTTAAAAGTCTATGCACCGACGCACCAAAATTCCGGAATCCAACTCATCTTTTGGCAATCTTTACGGGATTTCACACATTCCAAACCCCCTAAAAGACTTTCTAACCTATAACCCAACCTAACCTAGTAATTTACGGTGCCGCACGTAACTTAGTATGCCCTTTGGGCACTGACCAGGGGGAGTGTACCACACCTTGGGACACATTCTCTTCATTTCAGTATGTACGGCAAAATAGAGCTACATCCATACTGTAAACAACAAACCAAATACCTTTATATACCAAAACACCGAACTGTCCAACTTCACTTCGCTTCTTTCTGTTCTATTGCGTGGATTGCTTCGTTTCTAATCACATTTCTCTACATATCAAATTGCAATAGTTATTAAGGTCTATTTCTTCTTTGTTGCCATTGCATAGTCTTAAGACTAACCAACTCCGCCCACAAAAAAAATCCATGTATTCACGGCAGGAGTGAGCACATGACTGCCATGCAGGACACCAAGTCTGTGTGACGCTCTCTCCTCCCTTGAAAACAAAGGATTCTTTGTTTTTCTGGTTGGGGATTGGGGGGCAGCAGCCCCACTGGGGAGTCTCTTGGGGACAGAACCCTCCATTAGATAATACTGTGACTGATTTTGTGTATATTATTCATATCTTGGCCTATAATTTCCCTGGCACTTATTTTGCTGTCCCATGCTATCAGGGCCAAGCTTGTCACTAATGGGGGGTTGAACGGGGGGCACACGCCATAAAACCTACATATCTGCATTGCAGACAGTGAGAGGAATCCTGAGATACCAACATCATCACAATCCTTTTGGTGGAACAATTAGAAAAAATTACCAGAATGTGTGTCAAACTCCCAAACATTAAGCAATAACATATGATCAGCAAAAACTTTTTATACCCATTTATCAAAATGTGAAATACATTGTGAAACAAATCCTTCAGTATTCACCACAGTAAAAGTACTACACGGCATACTTTAAATGCTTCTAAGTCATTAACAGTTACAGAAAATGCCATCAAGCAATAGTACAAGTTGAAAAAGAAATTTGACAAATGGAAGACGTTGCTAACCGCCCCGATACAAGAAACACCGCTGACCGTACAAGGACACGCTCCACAAACAAAGAATCAATCATTGCATCACACTCAGCAACAATCGTAACATATGGCAAGACATGCACAAACCAACACATCTCAGAAATACAAACAGGCTACACATCTTTAGAAACGCTACACTATTTACACAAACACAAAGGAATTATCACTTGGCAACAGCATTCAATTGAAACCTCCCAATTCCAGAAAAGGTGGTGCAAGCCTTCATCCATTCCCTCCCTCCTCACCTTTAAGAGTTCCTTCCGAGCCATTTTTAGAAGGCAGCGGAGGAGCTTTCGCCATAGCCTTCTTGTCCATGGCTGGCTGGGTGTCCATGCACAGAGACGGAGCTGAGGACGGAGATCACTCCGGAGAAACCAACAGCAGCAACAGACATCTTGGTCGGTTTAGCAAGCCATTATCAACACAACAGGTAACAAAAAGTCTGTATTCTTTTATGAACACAGCCTTGGGGAAGAAGAGGATCAAGTGACACAAGAGAGAAAGTTGGGAGAGTCTTGGGAGTTGTTTACTCCCAAGAAGTTGGAAATACCAGTGCTTCTTTCACTTTCGTCGCAATATGGCGACGAGGCCGATGAGGGAATCGTCG